TAATGATCAACATCTTGTATGTACTGTTTACACCGAGCCTACTTAAATCGTTTGAGGCTTGCAATTAGTTCTTATTGCAATCACCGGGTCAATGTTTGGTCTACGAGCCGTTTTTGTTTGAACGAGCAGACGACAAAAAGCAGACAAGTTCGAAAGAGCAGACGAAAGTTCGAACGATCAGGCGGCCGTGTGAATTTGAAGACCCACTGAACCCGCGGGGGGCCCGGACAACTTGGCGGTTTTCTCTCGTTCATGTTGGAACAAAACAAATACATCTGGCGACCACAAAGTGTTGCCCGCACAAGCAATCGTAGTTTGACAGCGTCCGGTTTACCCTTTTCACGGCTATTATCCACGTACTCGGACGAACGGAGCGGGCAGAAACACATGAAAACTGATCTCAAACCTTTCCAGACTTTTTTGACACAACCCCTGTCGCAGCATTTTGACGAGAACGGAGGTTTTTTTGTCTGGTTTCTCCGAAAAGAACACAAGAATGCATGTCTTGCACGGCGACTTCTGCCCACCGCCCCAGACCGAAATGTGCGTCCAACGCGCCACCACCGCGGCGTGACGTAGAAGAGTTGAGTTGGTGTATAGCTTGTGAAGTAACATGTCGTGCGATAACCCAAATTAAAAGAAAATCTATAGATTTTACTCTTCAACAGGAGTTTATTCCTGACAGCATGACCGAAAAAAAAATTGTTGGATCTTTAGATGGTTGAGCGTGTTGGTTTCTAATTTACGATAAGGAAAGAGGGACATTGAAGACAAACAGACGATACTGACTTTCGAAACCTGTCTTGTCTGCTTGTCTTCAATGTCCTTCTTTCCTTATCGTAAATTGTTGAATTTGTTTTGAAGATAACGTAATAAGGCAGGCGAGCTGGTTAAAGTTAAGCATTTCAAAGACCCAAGGCGGAGGTTACAAAGAGAGGACAAAAACAAGACGTCTCAAACACAGCTGCTAAAATTTTATTCAGGACAGTTCTTTTATACCCGGCATCTCCACACCGCCCTCCAATCGCACACGGCCAGAAGGTTTGCTACTGTTCACACCGGACTACAAAAGAGAGTCATAGGGTTCAGAGGACACACAAAGACCACGTCCTCATTACATATACACAATGGCCAAGGTCACATCCAACCACTGACAAAACCTCCCAACACGCTTAAAAAAAATTGCAGATTGCAATTGCGAAAACTTCTTTTTTACACAATATATTTCCAAAGAAGCCTGGCTTATACAGTTTCTAACAGAAGCTATCCTAATTGTCTCCTTGAGGACTCTTTTCATGCAATTGTTTTCTTTGAATAACATGGCTGTACCATCCCACTGAACCACACAATTTCCACTCTCTTCAAGATGTTTAGCTCTTTCGGAGTTGAACGAATTATTTTTTACTGCTTTCTTGTGCTCGCTCAACCAATCATTCACACCCCTATCTACGAAAAACCGCATGTCATCTGAATACCATAAACAACGCCTTCGTGGCAGTCGACTGAAGCATCTCTGTGCTTTTCTGACAACCTAATTCTCCTCCAAAAGAGACGTCTTGTGTTTGTACCCTCTTTGCAGCCTCCGTCTTGGGTTTTAGAAATGTTTAAAGACGTTGAACACGGTTTTGACTATCACTGCAAAAAAACAAAACAAAAACAGAAAACAATGTGACTTGCAAAATCAGAAGGCGTCTCTTTTAGAACCGGTAATTTTGAAAAGAAACGCTCTTTCATCACATAAAACTATTTTTTTTTTAGGTTTACTTGCAATATGCTACCCTAATCTGGGATAGTCCTTAAAAAATTAACTACCCGCGCGCGCTATTTTTTTAGTCATCAACTTCTTCCGTCCAATTCATCAGAGCCGGATTAAAAACGACGCACCGAAATATTTTACACCCTTAAAAGTATAAGATGGGTGTCCCAGGGACTTACACTTCTTTCTATACCCTTTCAGCACCTTTTTTTACAGGTCTCAGTTCTTGTAGCAATAACTTTAATGTATTCTTGCATCGAACACCCTTCATTTTTCAAGGATGTAGAAACGATGTGGAGTGTCGCTTTGGTTCAGTGCGAAGATGCGACAATGTTTCTGTTGAAACAATGTCGCAAAGCTGTTTATTTTGAAACAGCTTTGGCGTAGGTAATTGCCTGCTTTAGGGCTTTTTACTCGTAGATAAACTTCTTGAACACAGATAAGTTGTTTCCTTGAGCGAAATATAAATTAAAGAAAGCAATATACCTGAAGGCCTGTTAATTACCGACGCGGTCACAAACAAAGAAGTATCTTCCAACTGTAGAGCAGTCAACAGGAACGCTTGGTGTAGTACTTGTTTTAATGCATTAAAGGGGCCCTGCAATCATATTTAAGCGTCTACCTTTTTTGCGGTTTTCACGCCTCTTGTTGTTCGGTCAAGCCAGCGGGCATGGAGAGAGCAACTAATTATCAGTGCTTCATATTTTAACCGGACGACGATGATACCTCCTCCAGCTATAGGGGCAACCCGCGGTGCCGAAAGCGCGTGATATGTGAAGTCTTTGGTCCTGGCCTTACTACTGGTCAGAGCCGCTAAAAGCTCCTTTTTAGTCGAAATACAAAATATGAATGGCGGGAACCGTTTTAATTTTTTATGAAAGTAGTTTTTGTTCTGTATTCGAGATCAGAAAGAAAACAAATGCAGCTTACAAAGTGCGGAAGCAAGAAATTACCCGTCGACATACCCGCCACCAATCGGTGAAAAAGGCGGCGCATAGTAAAAAGATGTAGTGGGATCTGGCCCCGACGAGCGGCGAGCGTAGAATGGTCCCGGATGTACGCGGCGACGCTGCAGTCGTATACGGGCTCGAGGATCCGACCGGTTCCGAGCGTTCAAACGGCCTTCGGCGAGCAGACTTGGCTTGCGGTTTGGCCGTTTGGCGCTATGGCAGCGCGAAGTGGCTCCCGTTCCGAACTGATCTCTACCCCGTGTTTGCTGCCGTTTGCGGCCAATGAAGTGTCATGCCGAATTAGTGTCTAATCGCGCAGCAAATGCAATGCGAGCCGCCCTGGCTTCCCGCTTCATACAGCCTAGCCAGAACATGCTTTAGTGGAGCCCTCTCGAGCCGTCGACACGGAGTGCGGCAGCCGTGAGCGCTCGCTGAGCTCACTACCTTCCCTCTAGTTCACGGCCACTCAAGCGACCAAGGACGTCATGGAGGAGGTTATTTTTTTGCTTGTTTTTGTAATTTTAATCTGCCTGTAACTTTTAAAATCAAGCGAAGTTTCAGAAAAGAAAATTTTCATTAAGTTACTACGATCTGTGCGCTCAGCTTCGGTGCAAATTAAAAACAAATAAAAAAGTCCTTGCAGGGCCCTTTTAACATAAAAGCGCTCGTTTTGACGAATAACCGGAATGCCTTTTGTTTGTCGGTGCCGGAAGAGAGGGAGAACGAGGGGGAGAGCGTGACGCGTGCGAAACTCCCGTTGGTCCGAAGCGCTGACGTCAGCACACGTCGACCTCTCCCTTTCTTCCCGGCGCTGACAAACCGACAGACACCGCCCGGTTTTCGTCAAAACGAGCCCTTTCGTTTTCGTCAAAGTTGCGCTCACAGCTGGCGCGGAGCCAGTAAGGAGGACGCGCCGCGTCTAAATCTTCCTAGATAAGAAAGCAGAAGTGCTGAGTTTTTCTGCGTCACTAAATACGGCCGCCATAGGCCACAGATTGTACATGACTACGGCGCTAGCGTCGGACCGGGACTTGGGTTCTCGCTGATTGGACACGTGTTCTGGCCGAACGCTGACGCAGCACCCGTGTCCAATAAGTGGCCTACGATGGCCTTGTTTATTGACGCAGTAAAATTCAGCACTTAGACTTTCTTAGCTAGGAGGTGTTGCCGCGGCGCGGTGGAATGCGGGCGTGCTCAGTTGTTTAGATGGAACAGCGCGGATATACAATCACACTCTCAGGCACTCAAGAAGGAAACAGACTCGCTGTGCTCAGTTGCCACTTTGTCGTCACCGGTTGTTCTTCGCTCGGGGTTTCCGTCTGGTATGATGTGTGTGTACAGTTAAAACGATGGATGCGGTTCACTCCACGAGTGTTATGGATTCGGTTCCTTCCAGGAGTGGTATGAATGTGGTCATTTACACGAGTAATATGGATGACTGTAACCAAGGGCGTACTCTGACAGGCAGAGTACAAAAAGGGGCGAAAAGAATTACAAAAAGATTCATTGGTGGATTCTTAGGGAGCGCGTTAGCATGACTCTTGGCAAACGCCACACACGTCCTCCTTTGGGACACGCTAACACTGACTCCATAACGAGGCCAAAAAGAGGCAGCGAAAAATAGAGGAAGCAAAATAGAAAGCTAGAACAGAAAAATGAAGGGATCAGCGTTAGCGATTCCCAAATGGGGACGTGTGTCGCGTTTCCCAGGGTCATGCTAACGCATCCCCTAGGAATCCACCAATGGATCTTCCTGTAATTGTTTTTTGTACACTTTACGTGGACGAATAATGTGCTGCCCCAGGGAGTCGCGAAATTACTCTAGGAAGCCACTAGGATCGCCTGGACACATTTTGAGGATTTTATTTAAACAAAATGGGCTAGTCCTGTGACAAAGTGATTTTGATTCATAAGGCTGTAAATGTTTGTTTAGTAAGCACCATATAGGCTGGAGTAAATTAATAGCTTGATATCTCCAAAGGCTTGTTTACACATACACCACAGCGCCACCTCAGCGCAGTTAGGCGGTGCTGATAAAAACGCTGATCTTTCTGATGCTACGCTGAATTTGCGCTTTATTAGTGATGCAGTGATGATACAGAGCTGCATCAGTGCTAGGTTACGTTCAAGTCGACGTTGCGTCAGCGTCGCTGTTCGTAGTGCCGATTAAGCGCTGCGAAGTATGTGTGAACCGGCCTTAACGGCGATACAAAGACACGTGCTTCGACCAACGTTGAAAACACGGCCTCGTCTTAATTTTTCTGTCCTTTCTTTTTTTTTTTTTTTTCAGAGTCATGGCGCCTTGCACGGAAACGGTGATGCAAAAGTCCGCTCTGGAGAACGTCGTGCTCAAGCAGTCGGAACCGTACGAGAGGATCTTCGTTTGGCGGAACGTCGTCAAGATCTCCCTGGTGCACCTCATGGCGCTGTACGGCTGCTACGAGTACTTCTACAGCATGTGGCAGACGCACATCTTCGGTATGGCACCGTCCACTGGATCATGGGTGTCAACCTGGACAACACGAAATATGCGAAAGGTTAAACGCGTCGCCCCATCTAATACTGCATAAGGAGAGCGCATCACGTTGCAAAAAAGCATCATAAAGAATTTCTGGAGTCGAGGCATTCTATACCTATCAGTGGAAGGGGTAAAGCAAAACTTGCAATTTATTAATACATCCATAGGCTGCCAAAAAAAAAAAGCGAGGAATATACTTGTTTTTTGGTGTGTTTTTTTTTTTTTTTGTGATAACGTCGTTTGTCAACCAGGACGTTATTTCCGAACTGGATGCACGATGCAATCTGGCGCCTATCGTGCCTTCAACTCTTGCTAAGATGGCCGCCCGTCGCAATCTAATGGCCAGCGCAACGTCACCTTGCGAGAGCGCCGTCTATACTCCAGCACTAACCAAAAACCTTCTTGAAAGTAGTAGGCCTAACACAAAATCACGTGCTACGACAGTGATGCTGCTTTGGCCCTTGAAATATCTGAACCTTCTTTTCTTACCTACTTGGGGGAAACGAGTAGATTTGCGACTCTAGTTTTTATTTGTAGTAGCCACAAAGAACACAGTTTCTTCTATATAGTCCCACACCATAGGGCTTTGGCAAAAAAAACGTGACAGATTTATAGGCTAAAAGACAACAAAATATTTCAATGTAGGCACAGTTTTGTTTTTAATGACTGTGTGAAGATGGTGATAGTGCCCTGATGCTAAAAACATGCATATGGGGCAGCAGGTGTAAATTAATAATATGCGAAGTGGACGCTTCTGCGCGCAATATAGTTATATAGACAAATAATATATACGACAAGGCCGAGATCTTACTAAGCAAACGTATAGTAAATAAAAATGAAGAAAAAAAGTAAGACGGAAACTGAAACTGGTATTAAAACGAGTCAAGATCTGCAGACTGTGTGATCGCTCAATTGTTGACTGCATTTTAAAACAACAGTGCACAAATGCCACAGCGTTGATACAACGCTGCACTAAAACAATAATGCGGAGGAAACTGGCAAACACCACTCTGCAGTGCAATGCTGCAAAAAGCTAGTCATTTTATTGTCATAGAAAAAAAAAAGACTTTTATGATAGTGACAAACCGTAGTGAAATAGGGTGGCTATGTCGGCTAGTTGGTTTATGATGGCACAAGGGCAAACAGCGCGCCAAAAACAGGGATGAAGTAAAAGAAGTGTGCAATTGACGAAGCGCTTGTCCTGTGTGCGCTCCTTTTACTTTGTTTCTGTGGTGTTTTTTTGTGTTTTTTTTTTGCGCGCTGTTTGCCCTTGTGTCATCTCAGTAAAAGTAGCAAAAATGTTCAATTAGAAAACGTGCCAGCTAGCTTGTGAATTAGCCGCGAATTAACATTAAGAGCGATTCAATCGAATTCTCGATTCCCCAGTTGACCTCAAGCTTAGAGAGGAGAAAGTACGGTAGCCGGAAACTTCAGAGATCTCGCACGTTCAATAGACAGAGCGGCTCTTCAATAAACACCTATAGTTAGCCAAATTGCTTTCTCCGGAGGGCTCAATACTATTTTTTGGTTACACAATTATGGCCGTACAGCATCGTCTATGTTCTCTATTGCCTACCATTAGCATTCAAAATAGCGGTTGGGGGCTCCGAAGGACGGAAGGCGAACATAAATGCTGTTGGTAACACGTGAAAGGGCCATGCAACCTGAGGCGCAGCCTCGACACAGCTTCGGCGAAGACGATTCCTCCTCACTAATCGAGGCCAATACGTCCTTCCAGACTGCGCAGCCTCGTCAAATACGCACAGAATACCGTAAGGGCTTCGACCAGCTCGAACAGGAACGCCGGCTCATGGTCAAGCTTGGAAGTATTACTCCGAAAGTAAGCGCGCACCGTCCGAACAGCAAACAGTATTGTCAGAAATACAAAAGGACCCAGGGACGTAAAACAGAAAATGAATGTTCAATTAGGCTAACTTGTGCCAATAGCAAACTAAATAGAAAGGTACCGCGCATCCTGCGTCGGCGACAGAAGCGGCGTGCTACCGCTGCCTTCGTACACGCGGTACTTTCAGGAATTTTCCAAATCTCGATCACTGCGGAGAATGGGTTGGAACATTACCGGATAAGCTAGCGCGAAATAGTTTGAAAAGCATATCCGGGCAAAGAAGGGTTCAGACACCTTTCCTTATTTAGCCAGCCGTGTTTGCTTCCAACACCGCCACGCACGCGGCAATGTATGGACGTTTTTTGTTTGTTTTTTTATTCGAACAAAGTATAAAAAAGGATGAACGCTGTGCCTCAAGGTACGTCGGACGTAGTCGTACTTCGCGCGAAACCGGGAGATGCGTCGAACGTAGAGGAAGGGTCGTACCACAGCGGGTCGTAGCGTGCCTTACTGAGACCGCACTGGCAATTTTCATTCCATCTTTCTTTCTCGTTGCTATCGTAATTAGTCCCTTCTAGGCACTGGAAATTTCTTTTCACACCCGCGATGTTAAAAGTGGGGGTGCTTAGATACGGGAGATGTTCCGAAATTACAAAGCTTGTGCTAGAAATATCAATTTATTAAAGAATATTCAAAAGATAAATGCCACAAAAGAAGTAAAACCAACCCTGGAGAGAATTAGCCTGCTCGCCGTCAATTCTCACCGCGCACCAAGGTCAACCAGTTTCTCCCGTTACGACTCGACGAGTCCTCGGTGGCCCCGTCCAGCTAGCGGCATTCAAACTCACGGATCTTCTTCTCGAGGTCCGGATGTCAACTTTTGGGCGGTCTCGTACACTTTTTACGGGTCGCGGCGCCCTTGAATACCTACTCCCGCTGTCTTCTCCACCGTATCACACGGTATCGCAGATGCTCTGCAGTGCCGTGGTTCCCGTTTTCTTTCGCGTACGTGATCACCGTTCGCTTTAACTTCACTGCGTACAAAGTCATTTTCGCAGTTATATGGACAGCATAGTTTTGAACGCCTGAACAAATGAACCGAACCACGTAAACAAAAAAGAGGCACACTTGCAAGCCACACGACGGAGTCGAACGAACGGCGACGAAACAGGAACAGAAGACAATACTCCTTACTTTGTGCCTATATTCTAACGCGCCTGCGTGGTAGCGCAAGTGCCGTTGTATGCCGCCATCTACCAAATGTTGACAAAACTGAGTGCCAGGGACCAAAAGGTGGTGTGCTGCCGGCACGTAAAGGTGGGCACAAAACTAAAAGCGTGAATGAGACGTGCAAAAAGAAGCGGAAAGGAAACAGGCGAGGTTTTGGACGCTCAGCCTTGATGAAGAGCAGACATCGCATGTCTCCGATCTCTAATTTTTTTTGTACAGAATTGTGGTGCTTACATTATGTCCGACGTATCTTTAGACTCGACGTTCCGGGTACGCCCGACGTTACCTTTAGACTCCGCGTTCCAGATACGTCCGACATACCTTTAAACGCAGCGAAAATTTAATTACCCTTATGTAAATTCCGCTGTCTCGGTATTTTTATTAGGCTCGGCAGGCATTAGATTGAGAAGGTGAATGGGAGGGGGGAGATAACCGGCCATCCATGGGCCCCGTTGTAAATTTAATTGGGAAGGCAATCATCAATATAGGCTAAACCGACCAATAAATTATTTTTTTTTTCATTCAACGGGTTTGAACATATTCCGTGATTAATTTTCGTGTACGTTTCTTACGAATTTAGACGCGGGATGAAGGAGGGGCGCCAGAAACAATGCCCAAAATAAGGCGCACAGGAGTGACGGGCATCTTGTCGCTATCTCAACAGCGTGCGGTCGGCGTTCCCACCAACTGCATGCTGCCAATATAACGCTTAGTGACCATCGCGGATACGTCGCTCCTCTACCCATCACTGTCGGAGAGAGCATACGGGTCTCTTTCTGCGTTCCATTTTAAGATCAGACGACAAGCCCACGTAAACCACGAATATCACAAAGCTTATTGACTTTCCGCAATCCGTATAAACTGATTTGGTCACTTATAAGGACTACATTTAAAATGACTATAAAATGACCCTTAAACCAATGACTATAATGTTGAGCAACACATTTCTGTTGATAAGCCGACCGATCAAGTGGATTCTCGCGTCATGTCGTGTTCGTCAATCCCGATAAACACGCTGTGGAGACGGTATCGATGTAATGGTCAGCCCGCATTTAAATAAAATTATGTTCGTATTAAAACAAAAGCTTTTCTGTTCTATCACGTAATAGAACAAACTAGAAAGAAGAGTTCGTTGAAATATCACCCAAGCAAATTTCAACAATCGTTTCGAGCAAAGAACACAACCTTCTCCTTGGGATTAATATCTCCCATAGGCTGGCGCGAGCGTGGAGTTCTTTTAGTGGATATTCTTAACCGGGAAAGTGATGTCTTAGCAATTTATGTGTTCCCGATTGTTGTTGTTGTTTTTGTTTTCTGCATCCAGGCACCATCATTCTCATCTTCTCTGGCATCAGCGTCACGGCTGGAGCCCACAGACTCTGGTGCCACAGGGCGTACAAAGCGAAGATGCCTTTGAGGATCTTCCTAATGATCTTTAACTGCATGGCAGCTCAGGTAAGTCTTAAAACCACGCGGCAGTTACTTAACTGTCTAGACGTCGTCTTTGAAGGGCGTGAATAGGACTGTGTACGTAGGTATTCGAAAATACAAAAAAACATGCCGAGCTGCAATTGACCAAGGGGCACGCAAAAGCAAACCTGGAATGTCTACTTACCTGTCCAGGGAAGTGTAGTGACAGATAAAATATGTCACCTGGTTGAAGTTCAGTATCTATAAGACAACGAACCAGACTGTATATTAGGGAAGTATCTTTAGGCCGGCTTTACGAAACCGAAAAGCAACTGAGATGGGCGATACCTCTTGGAATAACATGCCACCTCTTATTCTTAGTAGGAGCGCTTAATAGCACAAAAAACAGCAGCGGACTTCGCCCATGTTTAGTGTTGCCCCGACAACTTGCAAGCTTGAAAATACGTGTTTTTTTTTCTTTACCTTACTATTTTTAGCCAAATGAAGTTCTTGCGAACGCTTTATTTGCTTAAGGGTCGTAAGTATCCTCCATCAACGAAGGACACCACAATACCTATACATAATTCCAGTAGCTAACTGGCAACAACTGTGATTCAGGACAAAAAACCCACCATAACTTGGACACTAGAATGCCGCGTTTACATATGCGGGTTCGCGGGCGGATTCGTGCGGGCGGAAAGTGGATTTTGAAGCCGGGTGGCGAAATCTACATGTCGCTGGCGGAAAATCTGGACCAGACTGGGACCTATGTCCAGATTTTCCGCCAGCGACGAGTCGATTTCGCCACCCGGCTCCGAAATCCACTTTTTGCCTGCTCGAATCCGTTCGCGAATTTCTAAGTGTAAACACGACATAAATGTACAACCAACGAGGGGAATTTTAAGTTAGTTTTATTGCGGGACATTTCCTGAAGCGACAGGATAATGCTCAAAGAACATTGCGCGTAGGTAAATTCGTGACTGCCATTATACTGGACGGCACTCAGTTCTGCACTTAATCGCAGATAATGCTTGTCCTGTCTCAACATATCGTGACAGATTGCAGCTAAAAACATGTTTCGGAAACACTGCCTGCAAATCACAGTAATTTGATTTTACTGAGGGATTGACATATTGCAAGATATATTACAGAAATGTTTAAGCAGCGCAGCGTAAGCCTTTTGTATTTTTATTTTTCTTATTTAGTATAGGTGACATGTATTGTTTTCTGTAAAGGATGAAGGGATAGTGGCAGGGGTGGATTTATAGGTCAGGCTTGGGGCAGTGTGTGTGTGTGTGTGGGGCGGGGGGTGGGGGGGGGGGGGGGTATGCATTGTGATTTGATGTTACGGGCGCAGATGCGTTGAGCATATCTATTTTGTTGACCGAATATTTGACATTTCATCAAAAACTAATAATTTCTTGCTAAACATGACCTATGTATGCAGTTTCATTCGCAAAACGAATTTCCCTCGAGGGCTTCAAAACGCGCTTCCTTCTTCCCCGCTCCTTTATATCCACATCTGGCATGATGGAGTCGAATTCATTTTTTTTGCTGCAGCGAAGCTCAGAGGCGCCATAACTAAGAACCGAATTCACCGCCTTGTTTCACACCATATACATCAAGCAATTTTACTTCCGGACAGAAATATGGCCATCACATTGAGCCCTGACGTAGTCCCCCGCCCCTACTCGCAAATAGATTTCAAGAAAGCGTCCGTACTTATCAACCCTAAACATTCATAAATGTTTCAAAAATAAGCAAGATGTTCGCCATAAACATTACTTGATTATGACATTATGGTTCGATGCAACGCTTCACTTATTTGTCTCCTTCTTGACACTATAAATATTTTTATGTGCCATTTATGAAACTGAGTGACGGGCCCTCACTCTTAAACACCGCAGAATTTAATAAAATGTACTTCAGCTTAAACATCAGATATATGCTCTGCTTTTATTTATTTTTTTTTTTTTACATTATCAGGGGACAATGAGATGCGCGTGCTTTGGGGCGTTTACTGTCTTACTGCCAATGGGGAAGAGACAGGAGTGTGCAACTTCAGTTCTATATCCGCTATATTTGTTGTGAACTTCACTATAGCGGTTCCGTCACAAAATAACACTCACTGCCATGCCAGAACTGGGATGGGAAAGTGGAGAAAAAAAGTTTTAGCAAACCACCATATTGAGGCCCGTCCCCCCAGAGTCCGCCTTTTCTCCGTGTTTTTCTGCACACGAAAAAACGCGGATGGATCAGAGCTTGTAAAGATACCCTTTTAGAAGGCGATGTCGGTATTTTAAAGGCAGACGTAAAACCTCGGTTTTCTGCAGATAAGATAATCCTCTCAGCGCTCCGCTCTCCTAAGCTGCGAGGGGAGCCGAGTTGGTGCAAGGTAAAAAGGGGAGAGGATATAGAAAAGGAGGAGGCGGGTAAAAGTGGAAAACGCGAAGTCTACGTTGGGTTTTTAACATCGCGCTGCAAGATGGTTAGCGCAAAGATCTCCTTCGCGGTGCAATTCCCGTCACAGTTTCACGGTAGCGATAACGGTGCGACGATGACGCTATGCTAATACTTTCTATTCCTGATTATACCATATCGCTAACGTCAACCTAGGGCTTTTAGCATAAGTCGGTCACTTCGTAACTCTATCAAATCGCGTTAGCATAACGCCTGTCCAACATAACGCCTGTCTTCGGGAAAACGCGTTCGTTCCCCTGCAGGTGCGCTTTTCCGCAGCTCGCCTCTATTCGGGGTGAAGGAAGCTTCGAGTAAAGAGGGTCCGAATTTGCACGTACTACATACACACACTCCGCTTCTCCGCTACGAACCCCCTTGGCGAATCCAACGCTGCGAACATATCACGTGACAGTGAAAGGTCACCTGAAGGTCGTTCGGAGATCACGTGGCACATGCATTGGATTGGCTTCGAATGACTCGTAGCGTCGTCTCTGGCCCATCGTAAGGTGAAACGGGGCTTAAATTGTTTTCATTTATGTGCTAGGGAAGTTGAAGCAACAAAGCACGAGCATGTTGCCCCGAACGATGCCACTGTACCAGCATGCCTGTTTGCCAGGAACGCTGAAAGCATGGAGCTCGCCCCCGTAGCTTCCGCTACACTCGCACTGATTGTTAAACGAGGTGTACTAGTAGAAACTATGCACAACTGACGTTTTAACGTAGCACCAAGGCGGTAGAGCTAAATGTGGAACGAAACAAAAACAAATGCAATTTCTTTCAAAAACAAACACGGGTTTTCGCACAAACGTTTGGGGGGAAGCGCGCTTCACGGTTAACGGTGCATTTATGCGATATGGGGAAACGAAAAATGCAATCTCATGCGTCACACGCGTTTTCAGTATTTACTAAAAAAAATCGAAACATATATTCTTGTTGTTGCTGTAATTCTTGTGTTTGTTTTACCGAGAAACACCGAAATGAAAAACTTCAAATGCCAAAGACCGTCACTTCCGAGGATATTTTCGTCACTCAGCAGGGTCCCCGTTTCCAATTGAAATCACGTCAAACTCGCCCCAAAGCCCCGAGAGACAAGACTTGAAATTTTTTTTTCTCAATGGCGTTCCGATAAAATTAAAACTATTAAGCAATCAAGTGAGCCTCACCCGCTTCCTGCGATACGTTTCATTTTCGGTAGCGACACTTACTCGTCCGAAAGCTTTTTGTTATTTTAGTTCAAATAAAATAGAAGCGCGCGACTACGAAAACCAAAAATTAAAAAAAAATCATGCTTTGTTAAACAGTTGAGCCACAACGGGACATTCCAGCTGCTTGTCACGTACAAACAGAAGTTGGTTAAAAAACGGCACTTCAGCTTAGATCCTGTAGCACCGGATTCCGTCAACAGTATTTTGAATTCTTTCTGTCTCACAGCACACATTCCGAAGCTGTCTTTAAATTCAAAGCTTCCGTAAGACTTTGACTCGTACATATTTTTTCTTCTGCGTTTTTTCTTCCTTGTGCAAGCGTGCGGCCTTGAAAAATTATCGCGCGAGTGAACGTGGCCTGATTTAGAGAAGATAATCAATGTAACAACTTTCAAGAACCGTTGCTTGCCCAACTTCAGTGGAAGTCGTTTGGAGCGGTACTAAACATATCAGCTTTTTCAGCTTGAAAGTGCCAAGAGCAAGTTTTGTCAGTGAGGGACGAAAATCAGGGAACACACTTGTAAGTTTCACGTTTTTTAACCAGGTGCCAGGGAAACAAGTATTTTTAATCTATCTTGGTTTTAACGATGACACAAAAGGTCATACTTACAAATCTAATTTAAATACCAACTACAGATCTATATTTTCAATTTTCTAATTTTCATTACATAGTGAAGTATCTTTGCCATAGATGAATGCCGAAAAAATCAAGAGTGAAAAAAACATCTCGTCAAAATATACACAACAAACAAGTCCTAATAAGTATATGATATTAAACGGCGCTAACCACTCTCCGAATCTAAAAGCAAAACAAAACATTAACGACGGAAGCCCGGTCATAAAATATACTCACACTTTTTTTTCTCGAAGAGATTGAGTGATTTTAATTGATGATTAGTATTTTATATCTAAAAGAGATTGCGCTCAAATTGCTTTACCACCTTCTGAAGAGAGAAAGAGAGACAGAAAGAGTAAGAAACAGGAAGAGACGCAGTGTTCAGAACCTAAAAAAATGGAGGCTTCTTCTTTTTTTAAGATAAAATTTTGAGATTGAGGAAATACGAAGGACAACAGAGCACACATTTTGAGATTAAAAAAACACGAAGAACAGCATAGCCCACAAGTTTTAGAAATATTTATTTATTCTCGAGCCATTGTGTGTTGCGTCGTTCTTCGTTTTACCCTTTGCGGGGTTTTGTCATAAATTATGTTAAATTATCACCAACTAGTTTACGCCCTAACTTATTGTTCGGAAACTTTTTTTTTTTTTTTGCCATGGTTGACAGAAGTTTGAGGCTACCGCTACCCACACTATGGGACGCGCTCCCGTTCTACTGAATAATGAGAAACTCTTTTTTATAAAGTACGCGAAGAAAACGA